GGGCGATTGGTAGAGGAAAGGGAGTGGGAGCTCAGAGAGAAAAGGGGGATGGGATAAGGGGGTTAAGGGAGCGAATGTGGGGGGCGTTAAAGGGGAATAGGAAGGAGATAAGAGGGGGGCAGATTGTGGAGAGAAGCAAATATAGGGAATATTTGGGAGTGAGAAGGGGAGGCAGAGTGGAAGAGGCTAGAGGGAGAGAGTGAAGGAAAGAGAAGGGGAGGGAGGAGGTGAGAGGTAGAAGGAGGAGGGTGAAAGAGGGAGAGAAGGGGAGAAATGGTGGTAAAGAAAAAGAATAAGAGGTATGGAGGTATGGGATGAATGGAGGAAGGGAGAAGGGAAAAGGGGAGAGAAAAGAAGTGAACCCACAGTGGTCCCTGCATCCACTTCTCTTTGGAAATAACTCCAATAAGACTGTCGTATGCTATGGCAATCAACAAAAGTCAAGATCAAACATTTGAATAACTGGGTCTCTTCCTTCCTGAACCTGTATACAGTCATAGGCAAATATATGACAGCAAGATGTAAAAGTTAATTGTTGGATAAGTGAGAGAGATAATAAACCTGTGACGAAGAACAACGTCTATAAGTTGTTACTCTTTATTATTTACAATCTGATGGACAGGCAACAATGGGAATTATATGTCAGAAAATTATAAGTGATTCTTGCTTGCACAAATAGCTCTTGATTTTTTCTGTAGAATTTTCATGGTTCCCTCTGGTTACTGTTGATGTTATTTCATCTGTTAACAGAATTATTCTGCTACTATCATCACTACTATCATTATTGCTATTATCATTACCACTATCGTTATCACCGTTATCAATATCCTTATTAATACCTCTCACCTCTTCCTCTCTCCATTTCTAGACTTTCTCTCCTAGTTTTTTCCTCTTTTTCTAATAATATGAAGAAAAAAACACTTACTGAAAATCTCGGACATAGAAGAACGGCTAAAGACAGGGAAGAAGACGGCTGGCGGGACGAGGGCTGCAGCTCCCATTCTGAACCACGTGGTGTTCGTGATTCCTGACAAGAGACCGACAGGATTACGTTTCAGGGCATGGATCATTGTATGTGTATGAATATAATAATATATATATATATATATTATATATATATATATATAATATATATAATATATATATATATGTGTGTGTGTGTGTGTGTGTGTGTGTGTGTGTGTGTGTGTGTGTGTGTGTGTGTGTACATATATACATACACGCAGTATATGTTAAAGGGTTACACTAGATTACAATAATTTCCTCAAGTTGGCGAAAACAATTAAATCAAACTCTCTCTGGCTGAACATGCAAAACGACAACTTCCGTCGGGTGAAAACAGAGGGAAACTTACCTCCGAATGTCCCTGGTTCGGCGCGGCCTTCCCAAGGCTCGTATGACGTCAGCTCAACGTAGCCGAGCGCCGGAGACGCGAAGTGGAAGGAGCCCGCGACCAGAGGCGTCGGCGAGATATCCCGGATGTAGAGTGAAAACAACTCCTTCAAGTCGAGGAAGGCGAAAGGTTCAACTGTAGCCTTCCTGAACTCGAGTTTCTGAAAAATAAAATAAGATTGGAAATTGGATGCCCGTGAACGTAGACCCGAAAAATAAGTATCGAGACGTTTTGTTGCTGTCACTCACACTTGAACCATTACCCTGATGGCTCTCGAACGCTCGAACGCTGATCTCCGAACCACAACGCGTTTTTCCGTCTGGTAGACGTGGAGCTCGTAAAGTGTGGTGGAGGTCAGTTGAGGAACTTCCGACAAGCTGTTCCAGTACAACATCACTTTGGAGACAGTGTCCCTCGAAGCCCCGAGAAAATCGTCCACTTGCACGAGGTTTGGACAAGAAAGTATCCAAATCTGAGTGAATTGGAGTTCGCCAAGGAAGCCGACCGGCAGACGCTGAATGAGGGCGTTGTCGGAGATCCGCAGTTGTTGGAACGAAACCGTACCAAGTTGAACCAGTTCTTTAAAGAAATCCTCAATTTGGGAGACTTCCAGATCACCTGAGCAAGTGATTCCACTTTGGACACCGTTATCCACAGTGCACCCAGGCGTTTGTCCTGCAGCCTGCTGGTAGCTGCAGAAAAGCAAGGCAGCCGATGTGTAAAACAGCAGACAATTCTCCAAGTGCATCTTGGCGGCGTCTAAGCTTGAAAGTGTCTAAAATATCGCGTGACGCACAGACTTACTGGGTTTTCATTCTTTCTCGGCTATCATCTCTTATCTGTCGGCCGAGATAACTAAATGCACCAACGAAGACAAACATTAGGAGAAATTTAGTACTATTTCTCCGGGTGGACTGCTTATTTTAAAAGGCCCTCGGGGATAGAGGTAGGGGCCCGGCCTTAACAAAAGGACAGGGGGCCGGAACGGTGATGCTTGGGCCCCGAATACCGAGATATCAGTGTCTATTATTTCTGCTTCGTCAAAATAAACCTAGTAACAGAATCAGCCAAATATAGGATGGATGACAGGGTAGGGTTGGGGAAGGATAAGATGAAAAAAGAGATAACATAAGATATACCGAGAAACGGGGAGGAGGCAGAGAAAAACTTTAGACGGAGAGAAGATGGACTGCAAAGAGAGGGCGGGAGATCATATATTTAGCTAGCGAACTATCTGCACAAATCACTTATAATTTTTCATGTCCAGAAATTCGCTATCGAAAGTTGTTTAAAAATACAGAAGCATACTAAGTCCAGCTTCATGACGTGTAAGACACACATGAACATATAATTATAGACATATATGTTCATAAATTAATACATAGATATATACATATACATACATATATAAATATATATATATATATGTATATATAATATATGCATATATTTTACGCAGAAACACTTCTAAACATATGCCAAAGATATTCTAACCAAAAGAAATGTACTGAAAAACAAGTTAATAGTTGTACAAGCAGATAGCCGCCCAGCCGCGAATGAAATGAAAAGTCATGAAAATAATTTGAACTTTAAAATTACATTCATATAATAAATCTTGGTTAAAGAATACTTGATTAGAATTGCAGGAACTTGTCAACGAAGATAACAGCTCCAGGGAGTATGTTATATCCCTCGCATTGTGTTGCTCTTAATGGCAATAGGTTTATCTAAATCCTTTCATAGCGTCATGCTCAGCTAATACGTCCTTCTGCGTATACCTGAAGGCATGGTTATATATATATATATATATATATATATATATATATATATATATATATATATATATATATATATATATATATATATATATATATATATATATATATATATAATATATAATATATAATATATATATATATATATATATATTATATATATACATATATGTGAAATTCATGATGAACAGATTGCAACCGGAACAACGAATTGAAGGACAAGAAAACACACGAGTATGCCGAAGGCTATAGGTATGCCCAAAGCAATAGCGAAAAGGCCTTCGGCATACTCGTGTGTTTTCTTGTCCTTCAGTTCGTTGCTCCGGTTGCACATACATAATATATATATATATATATATTATATTTTATAAAATTCTGATGCGCTATCAAAACGAGTGAACATCACTGAATTAAAATATAGGCCTACCCATTTCCATATATACAACAATCTTATGAAGTTGAAAGTAATGGTAACTGACTACAGTATCAACAGAAGAATGGTGTTAGAATTTTTCAGACTTTTCCTCTTGAAATATTCTTTGTTTCATTGAATAGTAAGTATGCTCTCGATTTAAAGAGACGGTGAGAAATACATTGTTCGTCTTATGATGATTTGTGATTTATAAATGTATGAGTGTTCTTACCTGGTTGTTCTTACCTAGTTGCTTCAATACGGGAGAAGCGCTAAGCTCAGGAGGTCCCGTCGGCTATATTTAAATTGTCGTTAAACTTTTTAAATTGATGCACATTTCTGGCACACACTACGCTTTTTGGGAGACTGTTCCATGCTTCAATAGTTCTGTTTGGGAAACTATTTTTTTCATATATATCTTTATTAATTATTTTTACTTTCAACTTTTTGTTGAGTCCTCTTGTCCTTCTTATGTTCAAGGTTAAAAAGTCTCTTTATCTATCTTCACCCGTCCTGTACTACAATTGAACAGCATAATCATGTCCCCCCTTTTCCTTCTTCTTTCCAAGGTAGTGAGGGCCGTACTATAAAAATCAAATCAGGCAATCCACGACTCTTCGCCAGGCGATCCCGTGGTCAGTACCATGAGACCCTGCTTTCCCTTCGCCTGACGTTGCCGACCACTAAAGGGTCCAATTTCCGTTCCACAAAACACCACTCTCAGCTCGCCAGGCGTTCGCGGTAGACAATATATTGGAACATCGCCCGACTGCGAGAGCCAGCCATACCCCTCTCTCGTCGCCGCTTTCGTAAGTATCTCTCAATAGAACTTAACTGAATCTATTATGATTTGCATCAAAACCCAAAAAATCTACGTATGTATTCTTTTTAATCGCAAATAATCATAAAGTAACTAATAATCTTATAAGTATTCCATATTTTGAATTATTTACCTATACTTTGCTGATTTATGGACGTTTGAAGTGTCGAAAACGCTCTTTCTCCTAAAAATAAGTACATATATTAGGTAAAATATATATTGGCAGCTATAGTTTCCATATCAAGAAAGATTTTTGAAAGTGGCGAAACATGTTTTCCCCATTTAGAATGAATAACCTGTGCCACCAAATTCGCACAAGCGACTCCAGGCCTCCGCGCTTCCGGCAAAGGCCAATAAACTTCTCATTGTCTATTTGGCATCATAGTGCTTGGACTGATCATAAATTCCATTATAGATCGGAAAGCTCTGTCTTGCAACACATGCATTGAAGATTTGCTTGGCATAGGTGGAGGCCCTTGACGACGCATAACAGGCAAGGGTGGTTTTAAGGGATCAATAGAGTTCACAAAGACTTTTTATTTACTTGATTTTAACTAAATTTATCGTCCTAATTAGTATATCTATAATGCATACCCAATA